CTTTTGCTTCATTTGTTTGTACTGCATGCAGAACATTGAATATCAATAAAAACATACCTGAAGTGAGATGCCTGCTTGCATGGGTTTGCATAAACAATCTTGGAGGGTGGTACCCCCAGTCCCAACATAGTTTGGATTTCACTCTGTAAGTAATAACAAAAATCTCATAAGCAATAATTTTAAATAGTTTTAAAAGTGGTGCTACAATATCCCCTCCCAAAAATATTGAGAAACGGCTCAGTAGTGTTTGGTAGCCTTCTCTAATCATAACCATAAGTTAAGAGAGGGCAAGCTACCTATTCATCACTGCCAATATTGTTTYAGATTACTCAAATCCAGAAAATATAAAATTTACTGAGATACCACTTTGTACCTTGCTAAGGATGAGTAAGAAACATACTATGTGGCTAAATGTTTGTCTGAAATGCCTAAATTGTTTTTGTCGGCCCAAGCTAGACCATTTTTTCAACATTCTAAAAGGTCAAAATAGCAATTCAACCAATATTACTTTTGCCTTGTCTGTAAAACTGACTGGGTATTTCTGAATTTGCTATAATGAACTGAACAAGAGGCTTACCYTGCTAGCACAGTCAAAACCCAAACCAAGGCCTACCATCAATTTCAGGATCATAGGATCATCATTGCATTTCATAGCTGAAGAAAACAGAAGCAAAATATTTATATTATATTATTATGGTGACAAGTTTTTTTACTTCATCCAGTCAAGCATTTAGTATATATTTGTTATAGTCCCTTTAAGCTACTATATAATGAGTAGTGGTTTAGAAAAAAACAGCTTAAAAGAAAAATCAGGGACAAAAATATTAGACACTTCTAAGACCTCATAATTCTCAACAAAATAAGTTATATGATCTATTACTCAGCATTTACATATAATGCTACTATTTGTTTTGTTAAAAGCAATTACAAAATACATACCATAAAAAGGCTCAACTCTGGGCAACAACTGAGCCCACTGAAACGAAGTCATAAATGTATCAATGTTAATGATGCTGCATTATTTTCTTTTGGTGTATATTTGAAAACAGAAGGTATCTACCATTACAGAGTCCTTCCAAAGTGCAGATATTTGTATATTATGACAAAAATTATAATGTATTGAAGAATTAAGCAAATACAAACAATAGACCAGTTTTGCACCCAATGCATACCACTGTTTTTATGACCACASGGCTTAAAATAATGGCCGGCTTAGAACTGGAACTTGTCTAGTCAAATCTTTGCCTTGCCAGTCATTTTGACCTGATGTTGAACCAAGGTATTACGGAGCTAACTAATTTGATCGGTCATCATGACTGCTGACTTACCGGCTGTTATTTTAAGCCCTGGACCACAGACTTGATTGCACAGGTTTAGTCTCTTTTATAAGTCACCCATTCACAGATATCAGTCAGTGAGATTTTACAACATTGGTATTGCTCAAATTGCATATTCTTTAAATTACAGTTGACATTAGCCAATGGTTTAGTCGTAAAAAAGAGGCTAAGGTCTGTAGTTACAAACCACAGCGGTATTTACTGAATGAGATAAGAGACTATTGATAATGGCTCAGTTAGTACAAGGTAAGCAATCTTCATCAAAACGTGAAGTTAAGAGAGGGCAAGTTACCAATCATCATAGCCATTAAAAAAGAATGAAAGAAGCCACAGCAATGTACTGTGCATAGCAGTTATGTATCATAACAAAATGATTTGCTTTGACTAAACACTTAAGACGTTTATATTGAAATCACTTTTTCTGCTGTGAAATATTTAAAAGGCTGGATTTATAACCTACTTTCTTATGCTTGAGGATCACATCTGCCAAGTCTACRATATAGAAGGCGTCATCAGAATCCTGCAACCCAAAACAACAGTGTCCACAGATTAAAATAATTTACATCACCCTTCAAGTCAATATTGGTTGTTACATAGAAAATAACATTGATTTATTGCATCCACTACATTTATAAAAAATAAGGGGCTATCTTTAGTAAAGTTGCCTGAAAAACTACTAGGGTAAGGGAATGCTAAATTTTATGTTACACACAACAATGGTTACTTTGTCCAGACATTTAAATGTTGGTTTCTTAGACAATCTCTTCCTGGAAAATTAGAAATAAGGATCAAAATTTACAAATTAAATTTGGACCGATTATGATGGATTGATTTAAAAGAAAGTAAAAACTTTTTTTTTCTAACACAAAGTAAGTTACATCAGTGCTTGCAAACCTTTAATCACTTTAAAGAACTTGGAAATTGACACAAAAGTTTTATAGACCTCCTTGGCTTGAGCATAATGCTTTCCCATTTCAGATGACACRTCATTCTCTAGAGTATTATTTCCTTTTTTAACACATATGCATGCGAAGGCACATAATTATGAATGCCAATAAAAAGAACCTTTTCCCAAGAGAATGGGTCATGGTCTGAAATGRGAAAACTTTAACCCCTAGCTGTGAAGGTCTATTTAGAGTACCCAGTTAACCACTAACCTCTCTTTGTGGAGAATTAACCTTCTCCATGATTAGTTCCCTATAGGAAACATTGTCATCCACAATTTCAATTTCAGAGTCCATTCCAGTCATTTTCTGCTTCATCTTCAAAGATCACGCAGGGGGCTAATGAAAAAAATTGATATTACACWCAAAGCTGCGAAACATCCAGGCTAAAATATTACGGCTGATCAGTCTCCAGCCATGATCTCCAGCCAAATTAGTTTTAACTCTGTTATACCTCATTTCTGGCTTAGGCAAAGATTTGAAAAGACAAGCCCCAATTGTGGTCAGACAATGTGTGATGGGAATAACTATAGAATACCCCGCCAAATGAAAGCCATTTCTAAGGAATATGCATGGCCTACTTGGTGATTAATTCTTCATATGAATTCTAAGTGTATTTTTCATCGCRTCTCTCTGTCTATGCAGCCAACTCAGCCTACGTGTCTACTCAGCCTACGTGCCTACTCAGCCTTACRAACCCTTTGTTTATTCCTRSAAAGCCTTCCCCAATCCTAACCCTAAACCTGACTGGCTGTAAGAGTGCATTCACACTGTTCAATAGGTAGTTTTTTTTTTCATGTCACCTAAAATAGTAAGTGTGTTTCTAACCAACAGGTTGCAAATCCAGTGGTTTTCTTAACCAGAGAATTTGAGAGTTGATTACATCTTTGTTTTCTCCACTCATTTAGTTGATGTAACATCGACTAAAACAGCAAACACATTAACTAATTTAGGTGAGGCATACTAATTAACAGTTCACTAAATTCACTCTATTTTAAGCTTTGCGGTCTAGACATTGTTTTAGAGTTTGATAAAATGGATGTTATTGTTCATCAATGCATATTACACAGGTTACATGCATAGATGAAGTCTGAATTCTCAAACCCCCATTGAAAMGTCCAGGTCTTAAAAGGATAAGAACCGCCAGAGTTGTACGACACCCGACGATATTTGATACCAAACACGAAAGCTTTGGAGGGGCCCCTTTGGAGTTATACTATTACGTAACCCTGTCAATGAAAAAGTTTACTCTTCTATCTTTGGTAGTGATGGAGTTTGAATTTGAGGTTTAMATAATACAGTACAAACTTTTTAGTTTGTAGTGTATTGTATAAGTTATTACACATATTGTAAGACAGATTTTCTAATCACGAAAATAAACGATTAATTCTTTAACTCGTAAAGAAATACCGCGTTAACCACAGCAACCTTGACAAACAGTAAACACCTTCCTTCCTTTAGTCTGCTGTTGTTATCATTTTAATAAAACTCTTCTTCCTTCTGATGAATTCTTTATTTAATTTTTAATGTTTTTTTTTGGAAGTTAGTTATCCTTTTTTCCCCTTATTTTTCATATCTTTTGCGCGTTTGACGCAAGTTAATTTTACTCCGACGAAGGACTAGCGTCCGAAACGCAGTAAGTTTTTTCATCTTTTCACGGTGTTAAATTTACCCTTTTATCATTACTGTTTCATTAGAAACACAGACGCAGATCWTACTGGTTTTAAGCTAGTTATCTCTTCTAAGTTAATCAAAGTAAAGCTTTCATACCTTAAATCCTAACCGTAAAATACAATGCTTAGCAAGCGTTAGCTTGGTTCTGAATCAATATTAAAGGAGAATTCGAACTTCTTCTTCTTGAGAAGCTGATCGACGTCTGGATACTTAGTGAATTTTAAAGAGGTGTGGGACTRTAAAAGAGAAGAAAAAAACATTTTTACTTGCGAGGAAGAAGTGGCAAATGGCGCACGCGGTCGTTCACTTTGGCATTTTGTCTGGCTCACTCGAGGGAGAAAAACTAAGTATTTTCACTTACTTTAACCACCCTTGAAGAGAAGCAGGACGCGATAACCTTTAAGCGAGAAATGTTGACGAAATAAGTTCAAAAATAAAAGGAGAATCTAAAGAAGACTCATTTCACTCCTTCGACAGGATTGTATTCTTTCAATATGGACTCCGATTTAGAAAGGAAAGAAGACATGCGTAGGCGATCATTTTAATTGGTCAATCAACTCACGTGGTGTATTGMATATCAATGACGCAATCAATGGTAATACACAGGAAGCCCACGTCTTTGTCCTCAACGATCTATTTCCAGGTGAGTGCCTTCTTCCATGGTGATATTGTGACAAAGATACTAGTAAGTGGCATGTGATTTTGATTTGTTGGAATATATAGAGGGACAGGTCTTTTCTTTGAATSTGTTGTTCACATTACAAGCAACACAATGCAAGTTTTTTTTTAACATKAGAGGAAGTTCTTGAGGGTTTACAGCAGTTTGAGAGTGACTTAAAATGGTTAGTTTTCAGTTGAAGGAGGGTCCTTAAGAGGAGGGGGGTCCTAATCTCATAGCCCAGCCTATGTTTTGCTCAAATCTTAACTTAATTACATTCCCATTTTTTAGTTCGTTGTTTGTGAGTCCCATTCCCAGTCCATATATAAAATCTCATTTTCACAGCTCCCAAAAAAGGCGAATCCCCCTCTTGGAAGTTTCTAGAAATAAAATAAGAATGAAAGGCTTTKGGGGTTTTCACAAAATACTTAAGGTTTGACCTGTCTGAAGTTCTTGCTGTGCAAAGTTGAGTATACAACTCTGACTTTTAACAGCTGCTTTTAATATTAAAAGAATACTTAATTGGTATTCAGGTGATTAAGAACACAGCCTAATTGAAAAGGGGGAATGCTGAATATGACAGACACATTGTCCTTTGTCACAAAAGGATTAAAGCTCAATTGAAAATCCTTGTGCTGGTAGATTAGTAAGATGATACAGCCATTTTATATATCATTGTGTGTTTGTGGGAACTGGAGGGTGATACAAAAGATGTGCCGTGCCTTMATGTTTTCTTGATCTCCTTTATGAAGCACATTTGTAGATATACACTTGCATTAAAAAATACATATATTATATCTATACCCTTTCCCTTGCACTGAGGCAATGTCACACAAGATGATTTGCAACAATGCAAGGTTTTGATTTCAAATTAAGAACTCACAATGCGTTGCCAAAGTCATAATTATGCAAAAACTCATTTCATCTGGCATGTTCATGCAGTCGCATTGTTGGAAAAATCATCAACACAATTTGCCTTTCCGAAATTGAAAAAAAAGGCCTAAAATCAATCCAAGAATCCAATGCAAAAAGGCAGCTTTTTTTCCTTGTCCCTAAATTCAGCACCAAAATTCTTTGCAGCATTTGTATGTTTCAAGTCCTCCGTTGGATTTCGGAAACTCATGTAATAATGCCTTCCCCACACCTTTAAATGAACCACTGTTAATGCTGTACATTAATTTGTTCAGACCAGCAGTTATGGCATTCAAATATTGTTTCAGACAATGGGATTATGAAGAGTGGCTTTTATCAAAATATTTTTAGAAAATCCTAGCCTTATGAAAAAGAAAAACGAACAACATTTGCAGTTTTTAAAGCAATATATATTCTCCATATAGCAATATATATATGTATATTATGTTACATTAAATATTACTATTTCCGCTTAATCAAAGGAGAATCCTATAGCTATAATTGAAGCTTTGAATTAATAGAGTTAATCATTTATATTTTGCATATTTACACACAATTTCATTGATAATCATATTCAATTCTTTTTACATAAAAAAGCAGTTTGATTAATGCAGTAATCACACTCAGYCCAGTGTATGTACATTTTGCTATGGTCTAACAGCCTTAAACACTGAAAGGTTTAGGTGCCATGATGAAAGTTATCAATGCCACTTTTTTTTTTTCTTACTAAGTCAGCAATGTGTAAGCAATATTCACTAGACGATGGAAGCTTTAATAATGCGTATGCTTAAATGTTTCCTCGTTAACTTTCTATTAGAAGTAAGAAARCAGAGGGGCATTTATCTGAAGGGACACATCTATCTTGTGCTTGACAAGACTTGCTTGTTCTCATCCTTTAGCAGTGACAGGGTGTATGTCCACTGGATCATCACCGTTTCTTTCATGTATAGCCCTTTCTGATTTCACTATGATCCTTGACTTGTGGTAGKTACCAAATTTGTCATTCTACTGAAAGAACTTATTGGTACTGCCATGGAGGGGACACTCTGAGGCCCAGAATTAGCAACTGATGCTGGTACCAGGGTTGATGACTGCATGGCAGCAATCTGATTAAGCTTGCTCATTTCAAGCTGCCATCCTGGAACTTTTTTAGCAGTCATGTGTCGGCGAGCATGTTTGGTCAGATGATCAGATCTCATAAATTTTCTACCACAGAGTGTACAGGCAAATCTCTTTTCACCTGTGTGAGTTCTCTTATGACGAGCCAGTTCATCTGATCTTGCAAATCTTCTCTCACAGCCTTCCCAAGTGCATGGAAAGGGCTTTTCTCCTATGAACACAAACAGAATAAGAACATTATTTTTTAATTACCACTGAAATTTTATTTATCATAATAAATAAATGAACTATCACCTTTCTTTATGAAAAATACGAAATTATCATTTTTTCCACATTTAGCTTATTACAAATTTACAGTCATTGTTTGATATCGGCAGTTCTAGATTTAGGTGGGAAATGGGAGTTTCCTCCCCTTTCAGGACCTACCAAATGGTTCAAAACATAATAACAGGTCAATAGAATCTTTTTAGATGCTAAAMTAATGCTTTGCAGCCATAAAACATTTTTGCTCCTCAAAAAAAAATTTTTATGACTGACTACAAAAAGATATTGCAATATAATCATAAATTATAAGTTCTGAAAAACTAACAAGTAATTTGGAAAGCCTAAAAATATTCCCCCCCCTTTTTTATCAATAGAAACAATTCAATTAATGTACTGTACTKTCTAATGACTTATATCTATCTTACAGGTTAATGCCATTTTTATGAATCAAATGTATTGAAAAATATTGTAATTGAATTGGAACGCGATTTTAAATAGATATATTTTATCACGAACAAAAAGAAAGWGGCGATTATAAAAAGGCCAAGTTCACTCTAATATGAAAGGGGTTTTCCCTCATTGCGCCAGATAGGAACCGACAAGTACAAAAACAAAAATAGAAATGACTCATAGACGTCGTTTTACAACGTTAGGAGAAATCGCTTTCGTTTTTCAAATCATGAGCGCAATATCGTAAAAAAAGCAGATTTTAGTAGATAAATATGAAAATCGTTCAAAGTCAAGCGTATGTTGAAGGCGCTTTCTCGGCAAAAACGTGTCAATGTCCAGAAATGAATCATGTATGTAAGGAATGATTGCACTTGTAGCACTATCTGTTCACGTGCACCATTGTTTCTTTTCGTGACTACGGCCTACTCAAACTATATATCCTATGACGTCACGTCTTTTGGGGGGTGTGTGGCGCGGGAGTGTGCATGGTTGGGGCTAAGAAAAAACACGTAAAAATTCGTATTCTAAAAAATCTATCCAAAATGATTTCAAAAATCAAGTAAATCAAAACTATTTGGACTTAAGATTTGAATTCAACATTCGTGCTAGATATAATGTTATRTAACTGATTTTACGCAAAAGGTCAAGGTTCGATTCTTACCAGTATGTGTTCGAAGATGGGCTTTCAAATGGGAGCTTTTGAAATAGGTTTTTCCACAGTTTTCGTARTTACAGACGTGATTTCGACGTCTTGTTGTTTGGTTTTTTCCTCCATCTGTTAGATTCTGAACGGACTGTTGTCCCGCGAGAGTTAGCAAGTTGTTTTGTGACAGCTGTGGGATGAGGATGCCTCTTTGATCAGTAGRAACATTGGTGCCATTTACAGGGTACAAAATCATGATTGCTCCCGCGGGAAGATTTCCTCCACCGGGAAGAAGTACAGGACTGAAGCCAGCATTTGGTAGAGGGGATGTAGAGCTATTTGGTGACACAGTTGTCCGCGAGTCCGTATTATTCGTGTATCGTGTATCGGTAGCGAGATCTCCTTTCTGCAAATTATAAACACGACAAACTCACATCAATGTTTTGTTTTGAAAAACTAAGATTTCATCGTTTTTAGACATGTTCAACTCTCCTGACCTAAGTATTTGTGGCTCCGTATATGTTATTTTACATACCTTTAGATTTTTATAGTTAAAATCGGAGCCACTACCAGACGATTCATCAGAAGACATTGTACTGYTACTCGTACAAGTGCTACTCAGCGACGCACTGGAAGAATTCCTGCTCATCGAGGRCATTCCTGAGTCAGGACTTGGTGTATTTCGTTCAGGAGTTGGCGGAGACCATCGACTCATAGCAAGGAGCGATTGTACGGCATCAAGATCCACACTTGATTCGCTGTGAATTTCTTCAACATCGGAGTTTGTTCTGTAGTCGTCCTAGGATGTAAACAAAAGAAACATGATTCAGTGAAATGTCATAGRAAAGCAGCAATTTTCGTAGTGAAATTTACGGTCGGAAGAAAACTTACTTCCATAACTTTTGAACCGTTAGAAGGCGTTGAGGGAGGAGACAGAGGCAGCTCTTCCATTGCCTAGATAAAATTTCTGAAATCCTTTCACTACAACGTTTGTTATTATTCTGCGAGTTGTGTGAACTTAGATCAGTAGCCATGATCATGCAGGGCAAAGGGGCGTATGTGTGGGCTGGACCAATCAGAATGCACTACCTGACCAACTAACCAATCACGAAGAAGCTTACATGTGAACAGCGCATGAAACAAACCCTCAACCACGAGGAACAACAAGACGAAAACGACCTTTGGACTCAAGGTTGTGTTTACAATCTATTTTAGTAGTTCACGTGATTGCAATTCACGTGAAAGAAGGGTGGACATTTATTACGTCGATCTCTAAGTTTGACAGCCGGAACCGCGAAAAAAGGAAAGAATTCTTGCTTAAAAATCTTTATTTCCYTATGGAAATTTAAATTCAACTTGTAAAATAATTTTTCAAGTCACTTTTCTTCGATATGGGCGTTGTATAACCTGCTGGTAAAATTTTCTTTCTTCGGCAATGACGGCGTAAAATAAATAGGTGATCAAACTATGATGTTTTTCGGGCGTTTCCTCCTCCCAAATGTAGCCCTACCCATCCTTAAAATAATCCTTTAAAGTCTGTTCTTCTCTCTCAAAAAAATCTTTCAGTTAAAACTCTTCGAAAGGYCTAGAATTTTTTATCTACAGCTTTTATTAGTCACTACTTAGTGACGTAACGGTTATTAGAAAAATATTTTTGAAACCACCATCTTAACTCTTAAGCCAAAGAAAATATTAAGTCAAGTTGTAGTCTTTGGGTCAAAAATCCAAAGCCTTGGCCATGTATCACTGAATGGAAGTATTACGAGCCGCTTTGGATATAAAAGCAGACCCTCTTTCGAGTAAAAAAAAAAACAAAATGTTTTCATTGTGGTTTCAATGTAAATTTTAAAGTATTTCCCAATTTATGAGGTTTCAAAAAGTTAATTAAAGCAAAATTTAAAAGTGACTGATGATTGATGTAATGAGGGCAAGGAACTGAATTTCGAAAACAAGTGTAAACCAGCATCACGTTTCATCAACTGACTCACCATTCTTCATTCTCAATTTTTTTGTAGCAGGGTTGAGGCTGATAGTTTAATTCATAAGGACGGTTTCTTATCTAGCCTWCCCCTCCCACCCACCGGTCGTCCTCTCTCTCTGAGCTCTCTTCTTTTTCTTTCTTCTTTCTGTATCCTCTTCTTTCTCTCTTCTAACCAAGACTCGAAGTTGAAACTTCGCGAGGCGGACATGAAAAAGGGTAATTTTCGAAATTGGCTATACTAATTCTTTTATGAAATGTAGTTCTGATGAAGGTGCATATGGGTTACCCGCAGGAACTGGCTATTCAATTGGCCATAGGCATAAAGTCCATCGAAGCCAGTAATTATAATAATTGGTTGATTGTAGAAATTTTAGCTTCTGAAAGACCGGAATTTCCGGAGGAAAAAACAACAACGAAGCCGTTGTTCGTGGGGTTTCTGGCCATTTAATACTGCTCTAGCTGAAGTGGCCGGTCGGGAATGTGAACTCGACAAATCCGGTATATGGGGCACGCGCGTCTGCCGGTGAAAAAAATCAAAGCGGTAGGTTCGAAATTCTGGCCACTTTTTGTAATAGAAAAGCTTAATTTCCATAACGAATATCTATTGTTTTCTTTTTCTGCGTACTTCTAGTACCCAACTAGTCCGGGGGGGGGGGGGGATGGGGGTACTCCCCTATATTCGCAATACGGGTAGACAGTGCCGCCAAACAGGGTATGGTTTTCAGCGATTTTACTCAGTCTGGAACAGGGTCAGGGTTCAGAGGGCTCAGCGGCACATCCCTACCCTAAACGGGTAAGAGTACCCCCAAGGGCGGATCCAGCCAAATTTTTAAGGGGGGGGG